TTATACGGGTCAATCAATCAGTTATAGATTATACGCAGCTTTTTAAATTAGTTTTAAAAATATTTCTTTGATTCGATTTAATCTATATTACTTACAGGAGAAGTAATAACTACATATAATCTTGAGAATTTCTTACTTAGACATTGTCATATTTAGATCAATATCATTTTATTTAGATCAGATACTAAATAAGTAGTGGCCATGATTTGAGATTGTTGTCATTATGAATATTTTCTACAATTAAGTAACTATTGTAAACATTTCGAAAAATTTCTTAAAATTAGTTAATTATTGTTATGATTTTTTAAATGATTTAAGCTGATTTGGAATAGTCTGTTGAAAATCACAATTGTGTCACTTCAGATAGGGTAACTAAGAATTAAAATTAATCTTAAATGTCATTTACTTTAAATAGTATAGCAATCAAAGATCTATTTTACCGAGTATGTGATTGTATGTTCTCAACACAAACACCTTTTCTTAAAAACTCCTGTTAACTTCCCAGTAGAAAAAGTGGTCTTCGAAGACATTGTCTTCAAGACGCCCTTTAATACTGCGTCCGCATGTTCAAGCAAATTTGCAAAACAATTGCTCAAAACATGAATGTAAATACACTTTCTTTGCTTTCTCTCTCATTTTTAGTGTGAGAGATATTAATATTGAAGACAATAATTTCACGGAAAGTAATTTAAAAAATGAAACAAAGGATGTTGAAAATAAAAAAACTGAAAACACTTGTAAAAAATTAGCTATTATATTTAAAAAACAAAAGGATTAACAGGCGTTGTTGTAATGATATTTTAGAACTCTTAAGATTAGAAGGTTTAATTGTTCCAAAATCCTCCTCAACGCTTTTGAAAGCATATAAAACGTCAGCTGTGATACGTACAGTCGCACTTGGCGAATATGTTCATTTCAGTTTAATAAAATAACGTTTTACTAAGAAAAAATTTGGGACTACATTTAGTACAGTTCCTCTAAAACGTCTGAGGAAATTATATTTATAAATGAGGAATTACAAGGAGACAGGAAATTGAGAATTGTAAGTATTCAACAACAAATTTTCATATAATATACATATGAATATATATATTTTTAATTCATTAAGTATATCATTTAATATATACCTATATTATATTTATAATAACCAAAATTCTTTACTTTTATTTAGATTGAATCAATGAATCTTGTCGTGGAATGTTGCCAATATTGAAATCATCTTCAGTAAGAATATAATTCTGTCTCATAACTGCGGTGGTGTGAAAGGGAAAGACTGGCTAAAAATCCTTTTAATAAACAAAACTTTCGGGCACAAGGAAAAGAGAACACATCGACAAATGATGATAGCGAAATGCTATAAATTATTTTATATTATAATTTTTATATACAAGTTAGTTTTAGTTAATTTTAGATATGCTAAGTTATATTAAGTTAATTATTTAAATTAATTTTCATTATGTTTATTAGTTTTTAATTTTTAATATAATACGCGTACACTCAGAAAAAATAATTTGGTAGATTTAATCAGTTTTTAACTTAATCTGAAGTCAAAATATTCTTAATCGACGTATAATACCACATGCTGGTTTTCATATCTTCTTTATTACATGAGCTAAAATTTCCCTAACAAAATGTTCAGCTCAATTTAACTAGTATGTGATTAGATAATTTTTCCGAGTCACGTCATCACGTAGTATGATGTTTTGTGTATATATATTTAAGAGTACATATTTTATAAATGTAATTTATTGTGTTAATATAAATACATCACAAGTGTATATATACCTAATATCATTTAGTAAGCTTGTGATATGAATGTTACCAAAAGTGATTAACACGTTTTATTGCAGTATTATATTGCTTCAGTTTAATTTCTCATCTTTTATATAAATAACAGATATCTTTATGTTAATGATATATTTTTCATTAAAGGATAAAACTGAAATCAATAAATCAAATAGATAAATCAAAAGTGTAAATATGCCATATAAATATTTTAAGGGGCTCTATTTAATATGGCTACTAAACCATACCTCTGTCGATACTAAGTCGATAATAAGTGTTGATACAATGCACCGAACTTTATTAAACTTTTGAACTTATAACCTATTGCTATAATAATTTTCAGATTTTCGCAAAACGTTGAAAGTTATTATTTATGTAATAACATTAGCTGTTCAATAATGAACATGTTATTTTAGGACATACAATCCTAAAACTATTAAAATTAAAATTGTATCTTTTTTCAAACGCTGGCAGGATGTGCCTAAATTTATAGTTATTTATTTATGTCTGTTATCGTTTAAATTCTTAGAATTAAATAAGAAGGAAAAAACACGGGTAATAAAAAAATCCCAAAACTAAAGATATTGAAGAATATTAAACACATTTTAAAATACATGGCACCGTATCGATAATAAAAATATAATTGTAAAATAATAAAAATCCTACGTGGCAGAATTTTATGAACCTTTGCGACAGCAATAAAATGCAACTAAAATTATACAGTCCACTAAAATAAATGATAACAGGCAACAAATTATTTCAACCCTTATTTGTAAATGTAGTTAAGTTATGTTAAGACAATTTTGTATAAATAGAGAATAATTTTCAAAATAAAATCAGTATCAAACGAATACTCAAGCTTTTTATTTGACATTTTGGTCCTTCGAAGTCAATGAAATTGGCTAAATATAAAATAAAATTCTTCAAGTGATCCCCCACCAGTGGTAAGACACTTGTAAGAAAATATTAAACCTTTCCTAAAAAGAAAGAAAAATATATTTAATTAGTTAAAGTGATCCCCCACCAGCGGTAAGACACTTAACTAATAATAAAATAAATTTAGAGCCTTTTAAGAGCCTAAAAGTTCAATAAGAACAAATATAAATTTAGAGCCTTACAAACTCTAAATTAAAAGTTCAATAAGAACAAATATACATTGTGACCGAAAAGTTTTCGGAAATTCTCATTTAAAATTCGCGCGCTGTATATTTTTCGATATTTTAAGTTTATGTAGTTTGGCAGCAACTTTACCTTAATTACTATGCCAAAAATGAGCGCGATCTGTCAGACAGTTCGTTTACGGCAGCTGTTGAAACCAGTTCACCTCAGTAGTGCGTTGCGAAAAAAACAATGGAAAAAAATATTGAACAAAGAGTTTGCATCAAATTTTGTTTTTCGAACGAAATTTCGTGTGCAGAATCGTTGCGAATGCTACAAAAGGCTTATGGGGAATCAGTTTTATCGAAAACTCAAGTTTATGAGTGGTACAAAGCCTTTCAGGACTGTCGTACGACCGTCGAAGACATGCCGCGTTCTGGACGACCTTCGACCTCTACCACCGACGAAAACATTGAAAAGGCAAAGGAAATCGTGTTCAAAAATCCTCATGTGAGTGTTAGAGAGATAGCACGAGAGCTAGGCATCGGTCGTGAGATGGCTCGTTTGATTTTGGTGGACAATTTGTGTATGCGACGTGTCAACGCCCGGCTTGTTCCGATTCACCTCAATTTGTTCAACATTATCAACGATTTTAAGGCCAAACATTCAATAAATACCATCGAACAGCCACCGTATTCACCTGATCTTGCACCGTGTGACTTTTTCCTGTTTCCCAACCTCAAATTACCACTCAGAGGAACGCGTTTTGAATCCATAGAAGACGTAAAACAGAATTCGCAGAGGGAACTCAAAGCCATACCGGAAAGCGCCTATAAAAAATGTTTTGATGATTGGAAGAAACGTTGGCATTTGTGTATCGCTTCTAATGGAGCATATTTTGAAGGAGATAAAATAAATATTGATGAAGATTAAGAATTTTGCGTTTTATTTAAAATTTCCGGAAACTTTTCGGTCACAATGTAAATTTAGAGCCTTACAAACTCTAAATTACAAACTCTATAAGAACAAATTATAAAATAAATTTAGAGCCTTTTAAGAGCCTAAAAGTTCAATAAGAACAAATATAAATTTAGAGCCTTACAAACTCTAAATTAAAAGTTCAATAAGAACAAATATAAATTTAGAGCCTTACAAACTCTATAAGAACAAATAATAAAATAAATTTAGAGCCTTTTAAGAGCCTAAAACAAAAAAGGTCAATTAAGACTAAACAATTTTTTGTTATAACTTTCATTAAGGAAGATTATAATAAAAAAGGATTTATTATTTTAGCTAAATAGCTAAGATTTTAAAGATATAACGCCTTGGCTGTTCGAAAAGAACGCCCAATAACATTGGCTGAACCTAACAGCCTTTAGGAAAAAAAGGTACTTAGGAAAATCTTCCAGGCCAGAAATTAGGACGTTTCTTCTTTTTGTCAGATAAATAGGAAATTTATATACATTTTTCTCATGTTTTAGATGAACCAAGAAGAAAAATTGAGAAAGATCGAAGAATATGATCCAAATCCAGCACGCCATCATTCCTATCGGAAATACACGCCAAGTGTAATTAAAAACCAAGGTCCGAAACGGCTTACCATAGAGGAATATAGAAAGAGGCAAAAACCAATAAGACTACCAAGTCCAAAACCTCCAGCTAAGAAGAAAAGAAAACGGGAAGGGAAGGAATTCCAAAGGAGAAAAAAGTTCGCACTTCTGTATCAGCAATTACATCTTCAAACAAATAAAGAAGACAGGTTATTAATTCAAGAAAAAATAAAAAAACTTAAAAATAATAAAGATAAATAAAAAATATTTCTAAAAATTATAATATTTATTTTTGAAATGGGGCTAATAACAGCATTTCAAACAGACTTACTAACAGCTCAATATAAGCTAATAGAAAAGTTAGAAAAGTTCATACAACAAGCTAAAGAAATAAAAACTAGGAATCGTAAAACTGAAGCTTTAGAAGTATTAGAAGAAGATTGGAAAAATTTTTCTGAGAACGATAAGAAATTAAATAAGTTTGGAATAGAAGACATACCATATTTTAATGACGCATTATATAACCAAACGAGAGAAAAATATATTGGAGTAAAAAATTTATTAAATATGGAAAGTGAAGAACACAAATCAGAAGATGTAGAAGAAATATTAGTAACAGAGACCAAAAAGAAAGACAAATCAGAAGATGCAGAAGAAATATTAGTAACAAACAAATCAGAAATTATAATAAAAAAAACTGACGAAAATTGGGAGATGTCGGTACATTTAATCAAAAAATTAGAAGGAACGGTTCATCGTATGTTACATAATACTCCTGATACTTATGCACGAAATTTATTAATACAAACAATAGAAAAATACTACGAAGATCTACAGCTTATATTAGAAAAATTAAATGACGAGCAAACTATTCATTTACAAAAAATATATAAACTAAAAACACTTAAAAGCGAAATTGAAATAATATTAAATATTAAAGCTACGGATGAATCCAATAAGCAAATAATTCAACCCACTGTGCAAAGACAAATTGAAACACCTCCTACAAGATTACCTGATTTCTACGGTAAATTTGAAGAATGGCAAAATTTTGTAGATCTATTCACAGATTTAGTACACTATAATCATATGTTATCATCTTCAATGAAATTAGACTACTTAAGATCCCATGTAAAAGGAGAAGCACGTATGGCAATAAGCCACCTATTAAATGGGTCATCAGCAAATTACGATACTGCTTGGTATACACTGAAAACAAGATATGAGAACAAACGGTTGAATTTCTCACAACAGTTCGATAAGTTACTTGATATGAAAACAATTAACTCATCATCAGTTACAAGCTTAAAAACTTCACATGATACAGCTAAACAATGCATTCAGATGATTGAATTTAACTCAGATAATGATATTGAATCTAATTGTGACAAATTATTTGCGCATATTATTTTGAGAAAATTAGATAAAGAAGGTATACAATTATACGAACAGCACGTTAAAAAACCAAGGCAGATACAGATGTTAAAAGATGTATTTGAATTTTTAGAACAACAATTCCAAACTCTTGAAGCTCAAAATAGGTTGAAAGCCACAAGAATAGATTCAATTATTCCAACATACGTTTCAAAAACTCAAAACACTTCCATTCGATGCCAATGTTGTAATCAAATAGGACATCGAATGTATAATTGCAGCAAATTCTTGGACATGTCAGTTAGTCAGCGAACAACGATAGTACGTAATAAACAACTATGTGAAACATGTTTAAGTCATAATAATCGCAGTAAATGCTACTCTATGTTCAGATGCAAAAAATGTAATAAAGCTCATAATTCTCTTTTACATATGGATTACAATCAAAAAAATGTTAGAGTCAACACGAAAATTAATAAAGACGAGAAAACCTGCTCCACAATAATAAAAAAAGACAAGAAGAAAAGAACTCTACTCCCAACTGTATTAATCAGCACGAAATCTTCAAATGGAGATAATCATGAATTGAGAGCTTTGATTGATCAAGGCTCACAAGTATCTATGGTATCAGAAAAAATAGCTCATTCATTATTGTTAAAGAAAATTAGATATAAAACCAAACTATCAGGACTATCTAATGTAAGCATGGCTACATCGAATTCAAAAGTATTTACGGAAATATCATCGAGATTCAATAATAAAAATAAAGTTAAAGGAGAATTTTTGGTGATATCCCATCTAATAAAATTATTGCCAGAAGAACCAATAGAAGTTGAAGACGCTGTTTGGGATACTTATAAGTTGGCGGATCCTGAATTTAATAAAAGCGATCGTATTGATTTAATAATAGGAAGCGATCTTTATCCAAAAATAATAAAAGAAGGTATTAAAAAATATAACGATGTAGTCGGACAAGAAACTATATTTGGGTGGATAATATCTGGTCAATTACCAACAAATACAATAAAAAATCAAGCAATATCAGCTTTAAATTTAGAGCGATTTTGGGAAATAGACGATGAAAACAACACAAACTTATGTACAAGAAGATGAAAAATGTCAAGAACTATATAAAACAACTACAACAAGAGATACAGACGGTAGATACATGGTGCAAATCCCATTTAAAGAAGAAGTGTCTTTAGGGAATTCTAGTGATGTGTACTTATTATCGGCAAGTAAAACACGACATGTTAGGTTGAAAGCTTTATTGTAATTAATTCATCTTAATGCTAATGCTCAGCGTCTTAGCACTTGAGCGTCATATATTTCTTATATATTATTTATACATAAGATAAGCTTTATATATAAGCGCAGCATCAGTGGCAGGTTAAAGCGCTGAGTGCGCATAAAGTGTCACGTACGCTTGCGCGTGGGATAGCAATAGTTTGGATGTGCTTGATGTACATTGTATCAGTTGACCATTACAATGTGTATGGCTGTTTGATACTTATAAGAATACGCGATTTAAGCGAATTCCTCTTGTACGTTGATATAAAGATAAATGCAAGCACATACATACTACACCTCCCTTTTTAAGAGAATGGATTTATAACATGTAAATATAGTTTAAATTCATTCATATATATATTAATAGTATTTACATTGTATTTTATATTATGTTAAAATTTACATTGTTTTTTTTTTTTTATTACATAAGATTTAAAAAAAAATTTTTTTTTTTTTTTTTTTTTTTTTTTT